AGGAAGGAAGGAAGGAAGGAAGGGGATCTCCCTCTCCTTCCCTGCCCGCACCGCCGGCCCGACCTGGAGGAGGAGGACGCGGACCGCTTCTGGCAGAGTTGCGGGCCTTTTCGAGCAACTTTCTCTAGCGGTGCAGCAGAAGATTCACAGAGATTCACAGCGCAGAATACTGTAGGTCGCTCACTCCTTTCCTCCGAAGCCAGCATTTTTACACTCTCAGTAACTGACTCTGAGGTAGTAGTAGGAGGAGAAAGAAGCACTCCTTGTGCTTTCCATGTTTGTGTTTTATGTTGCTCAAAGTGGCATTTGTTTTGTTTTCCATTTTAATATTTGTATACTTTCGTTATTAGCTTTAACATTGCCTTCTAGCGATGTTAACCACCGTTGTATGCTAATGGTTTACAATTTTCAATATTGTAAGCCACCTTGGGTCCTTTTCAAAGAGAAAAGAAATATTTTACATAAATAAATAAATTTAGAGTTCTGAACCGACCGAACAGCAAAGGACTGACTGTTGGAAATGTATGCAATTCAGCCTGCAAATGAATGCCCGGAGGTGGCTGCTGTGCTCCTCCCTTCTTTCGACCCCTTCACAAACTCCTTCTCTTTGGCAGGCCTCCCCCTACCCTCCCCTACCCTCTCCCCTCCCCGCAGCCGTTTACCGCCTTGGTTCCGAGGGTGCTTTTCTCTCCCTTCCAGGTGGGTCACCCAAGGCGTGGGTGCTTCTCTGTCTCATGCCCACCATACTTTCCTCCATCGTGTGGGCTGAGAGGGTCGCCTTCCCCGGGCAGGCGGGACTCGGCGCCCCCGGCTGGTCTGCCGAGGGGGGGGGACCCACACCCGGCTCCCCGCAGCCGTTTACCGCCTTGGTTCCGAGGGTGCTTTTCTCTCCCTTCCAGGTGGGTCACCCAAGGCGTGGGTGCTTCTCTGTCTCATGCCCACCATACTTTCCTCCATCGTGTGGGCTGAGAGGGTCGCCTTCCCCGGGCAGGCGGGACTCGGCGCCCCCGGCTGGTCTGCCGAGGGGGGGGGACCCACACCCGGGGAGCGGAGGAGAGGAGAGGGGGGACCGCGAGTATTCAACGGCGCCCCCCCCCAGCAATAAGGCCGGTTACTTTCTTTTAAAAAAATTTATTAAGGAAAAAAATAATGACAATATTAACATACTTATATACTGTGCAAAAATATTCCCCCTGTGCCACCATCACCCTTGGGACTAACTAGGTAACCAGATACTATATACAGTACTGTATATCTTTAATCTCTTTTCACCCCATTGCACGCCAAAACTGGAAGCCCCGACCCTGGATCCAGTCCCTTCCTCCCTCCCTCCACCTTGACCGGCCCGGGAGGGGCAGAGGGAGGCCGAAGGATGAACCCTAACCCCCTCCACCCCGAGGGAGCTCGGAAGCTCCCCCTCCGGGCCGCGTCTCCGTCCTTCCCACTCTGCATTCTTTCTTCTGAGGCCTCCGGCCGCGGTGCGCGACGGGAAGTGTAGTTTGCCCTGGGCTACGGGGAGGGGGGCGGCGGTGCTCTCCTATTCAGCTAAGCTCAGGTACAAGCATGAACTGAGAATGACAGGGCTCTATTCCTCTGCAATAAGCTTCTAATGTGATGATGATGATCATATGGCGACAGTGGACTATGTGATTTTATTGGGGGAGGACAACCAAAATTTTAATAAGAACATTATTCACTGATACTGCAGTTCTGCATCTCAGTCGTACCACCTTCTTGAAGCCAGACGTCTCTACATGTGTTTTTTTAATCAGGCAGGCAACATAAAATGGCAATCATGGCATGGAAAAATATAGGTTTTCTTCTCTCCTTCTCTCAATAGATTTTGGTAGAGTAGGTCTGATCCTGGAACACATTACATCAAGAAAAATTACAGGAGGCCACAAACCCAATATAGTAGGTAGATTTGTGACTAACATTTTCAGGTCTCTGTAAGAGATGGACTTAATCCCCCAGCCCCTGCCCTTCCATGAATGAATGTAGTGTCCCTAGAAATTGGAAATAGTTTGGAGAAGCTCACGACAGTGAGGCTAATGGCTTTGCTGTTGACTGCTTGTTTTGTTCAATGTGTGTGTGTGTGTGTGTGTGTGTGTGTGTGTGTGGGTGTGTGT